TCTTAATGCGTTAAGGTTAATAATCAAGTGGAGCTTGTCAATGTGATCGCTGATCACAACGACCGATCGTATTGTATGTTGAAAGGCAATACGACGCGATGAATACGACGGATCGTACTGTATATGGGGCCTTTAAGTAACCTCAAGTCGCAAATAGGGATGATGACTGGGTAAAAAAAATGCAATTCTATTTAATCCGTTAATCCGATAATAGAAAAATATTAGATACGTATTTTTTTTTACTTCAATTTAATAAGAAAATAACTTAGATAACAGGCCTTAAAGTTGAGGAGTGGGGGCTCGCTACGTCACAGTTGAATAGAAAACGTACCCTAACGTGACGTCATGCGAAATTTCAACTCTATGTAACGCCGTAATTTTATGATTACGAAAAAAAAATAAAAAAATACATGTTTAATATTTTTTAACACTTTACACGGACAAACAAACAAAAATTAGTCATCATCCCTATTGCGGGTGACCTGAGATCACTTTAATTTCTACTATGCCTCTATTGGTTGACACGTATCTAAAATATACTTCTATAAACGTGACCTAATTTTGTTTATATAATTATATTTGATCGATTCCGCATTCATAATGCTATACTGAAAAATTTTCTTAATTAAAAATGTTTTAAAAATCCGCTTGGCACTGGCATTTTTTTAAGCATTTTAATTAAGAATAGATTTCTTTAATTTTGGTGTAATGGAACTGCCTAATCAGAAATCTAAAAACTGTTCTAGTTCTAACAGCGATAATAATCTTTTAACAAAAATATTATGTACATAGTTTTATTATTGTTTACCCTAATCCTAAGGTTTTAAGTAACTATAAAATATCAAAATGCATAAGGTTTTTTTTATTTAAAAGAATACGAGTAAACCATATGAGTAAACCAAAAAACATTTTTAAAAGTGAAATGAGCACTCATTCTTAGGTGGTTTTGCTTTTCAAAATAATAATTATGTTTAAAACTAATGGAATATCTGCCCCATGACAGCTGAGTAATCAATTTTAATTTCACAACGAAACGTTTGTGACTGTAGATAGATAAATAGAAATAGTTTGGACAATAACTTTTTACCTTGTCACTATCATCCGCCCTCAATTTGATAACCTTTTGACGAAGCCCTCTTATTTAAATTATAATTGCATCTTTAAAAGAATGAATAGTGAATGCATCATTATGATTTGATATCTAAACATAGTATAAAACTGTTCCCGCGGTCGGTAAACTGAGATCTTTTACTACACAATGTATTTGAATATGTTCATTTTTAAACTATCGCGCTGCATTATTAAATACTTATAATACCGGGTATTAGACGCGATTTTTCACTGAACTGCGCCGACTTTATCCAGAATACGGCTCATCTGCAGAATAGGGACACCGTTAGTGTTGTTTGTGACGGTATTTGTATGAAAAATCTGAGAGTGAAAGAAGATTCATCCTCGGATGCAGAGGTGTAGCTGGCTGCTCCGGTCTCGTCGTGACCACGAAACGTCGGCGCAGGTCAGTGTAAAATCGCGATCTCTCTCTCGCGAATAATATCCGGTATTATAAGGATTTCAATATGGTTTTCATTAATATACAGAGTGATTCAAGTGGGAGGTTTGTATGTATAATACGGGATCACGCAGACAAAGTCGCTGGGAGAAAGCTAGTACACAATAAATCTATTCATATTTAACGTGGTGTTGGTAACCGAAAATTTGTTATTTCGACATCCTCCGTGTTTCAGAAGGAGCGGCCGCATCTGCATTTATTAACACCCAACAATCCACCCTATGGCTATGGCTCGGTTTTCCTATTCGATTCGAATGCATTCCATCCATAAGGAAGGTCTCTAATCTGCTCGTGATTCAATTTATATATCTGATAGATAATATACTAGCGACTTCAATAACTTCAATAGTAGCCTACATCACCCGAATATAGTTCCCGTAGTTCCCGTAGGTGAAAGTATTTAAAAATCAGTAAAGTAGTTTCGGCGCCTATCAATCTAAACAAACAATCCTTTCCTATTTATAACATTAGTAAGTATAGATAGTTGACTTTAAATATAAATGAATAATAAAAAGACACACTTCTTTGCTCTTTGCAGAATTTTATAATTGGACCGAAAAAAGGTCTAATGATTTTTAACAAAAAAGAAAGAATAATCTGTAATTGACATTTTTCTAAATACATTGAAGCTTACTTTACTAGTAAACTTCATAAATAACAAAATAATCTATAAGTAATAAATATAAAACAAGACAAAAATGCCGATATCTATAAAATGTAATAACACTGAATTCCATAGCAAAATTCAATCATATTGGACTTCATAAAATACTTCGGTAGCTAACAGGCTATAAAAGCAATCAACAAATAGACTACAGGCCCATGTTGAAAAAGTTATGGGTCATTTGAACCACCAGGTGACCTGTCTAGAACGATATAAGAGCATAAAAAAATAAGATTCAGTACTATGCCGTCACTTGTAAGCTGTCCAACTGAGTGCAGGTGAGAATTCGAAAGTTCAGGTAGAGTGAGTACATTTTGGTCACATATTTTTGTACGGCATTTTTACCACCGATAGATCCATTAAAAATAATAAGAAAACGCGCAGTGCCGTAAAAAAATGGTGCGCCACAAAGTCGGATTTTTTTTTTATTTTCCGACAATTACCGGGGTAAATTTGGTCATTTGATTTTGTACGGCATCTGTGTCATACTATTTCAATACTGCTTCTTATCCATTATTCCGCAACGCCGTACAAAAATCATGCGACAAGGGGAAAAAATCGAGGGTTGCAACCCCCTCTCTTTCCGTAGTCCAGGGGGTGATTTGAAAAAGTACGGCTTCGGTTCCAAAACATTATCTAGCACTCAAAAGTACTATTAAAAGTAATGCCGTCAAAAAATGATTGTTCCTTTGAATGTATACCACTAATCATCTTAATTTCATCGTATCCTTGATTTATAGAGCTGTAAAGTCATTTGATCCTGTACGGGAACTTTTTTTTTAACATGATATTGTAAAATACAATTATTATATAGTATTGCCGTTCAAAAGAAACCGTTCTAAAAAAAATTATAGAGAAATGCAAAAACTTAAATTTTGTAAAAGTTTAAATATCATAGATTAATGAAATATAGCAGTTTTCTACATTTTATCCCTTGTTTTAAATAATATTAACATAGATAAATTAGGAAAAAATGATGCCGTACATTTTTATGCAGACCATATCTTTGAGGCTAATGAAAGTGACGCTAGAATTTTAAGGGTACTTTATGGCCATCTGATACAGTGCGGCATTAACATATTTTTGAAGAGAACAATTGTTAATATGATAAAATCACTATGACGTCTAACTGAACTGAAACGGTGTATATTATGTCCAAGAATTGAAACTGTCAATCCCAGTATCAACAGTTTTATATACTTTTTGGTTTAATATATACTTCAAACATTATTGATACATACATATAATTGATTTGTTTCATTGTAATTATGTTTCCAGGCACTTCACTACCCATCTACCGTAATCAGCTATGTTGCTATTTAAAACGGTAATTTCGCGATATTCATTACATTACGTGCTTAGTACGACGCAATGTAATAAATATGCGCACTTCTCCAGCAATGTACGATATATTTTCTTGGAAATATTATTTGTGATTCACACTTTTGATAACATTTCACGATTTTCGACTAAAAATACTAAATTTGAGAAGTGTTCTACTTAATAATGGAAAGAAATCCTTCCTTTGGACCTACTTGAGGATGGGCTTCTTGTTTTGCAATTAATAACTGCGAAAGTCGGCACTTTTAACACTTTTAGTGGCGTGTTTCACAGTACTTACAGCGCGCGCGTACGTGAATGACTAAACATCGCGATCGCGTGGTGAAGTCACGATCCTGTACATTTGTCTAGGATCGTGGCTGCACTGCCACGCCCACAAGGCCCTTCTAACGTCTTTCTGCGTTCTGTGAATCGAACTATGTGTGAGTGTACGCAAACACCTTACTCGGGTCCAAGCCGAGTACATCCGAATAAAATACGATATTCCCTACAAATGCTAAACATCGCACAGTAGTTTAGAATGCACATTTAAATTAGTACAAATAATCTATCTAAATGCCGTATAAAAAAATTTTCACAATATAAATTAAATTCACCTTACATTTCGTTATATGGATTTTTTCTTTTTCAGTTTTTTCCCCTTTGAACCAACGAAAATGTACGGCACATGAAAAAATATTATCTATACATAAAATACTTTCAAAATAAATTTATTTCATGTTGTGTCAAATCACCCCTTGGACTACGGAAAGAGAGGGGGTTGCAGCCCTCGATTTTTTCCCCTTGTCGCATGATTTTTGTACGGCGTTGCGGAATAATGGATAAGAAGCAGTATTGAAATAGTATGACACAGATGCCGTACAAAATCAAATGACCAAATTTACCCCGGTAATTGTCGGAAAATAAAAAAAAAATCCGACTTTGTGGCGCACCATTTTTTTACGGCACTGCGCGTTTTCTTATTATTTTTAATGGATCTATCGGTGGTAAAAATGCCGTACAAAAATATGTGACCAAAATGTACTCACTCTACCTGAACTTTCGAATTCTCACCTGCACTCAGTTGGACAGCTTACAAGTGACGGCATAGTACTGAATCTTATTTTTTTATGCTCTTATATCGTTCTAGACAGGTCACCTGGTGGTTCAAATGACCCATAACTTTTTCAACATGGGCCTGTAGTCTAAAACTCTTAATAGCCATAAAACATCCAAATAGTAGTCAGTGGTATGTTATTGGTTTATAATTTACTAAACGAAATAAGTCTTGTTTCCTATAGCTCCACAATGCGATGCAAACGCAGATGTTGGAGTGAGACACCGCTATATACGGGTGCAGCGCCATCTCGTTTCGACTACAATACTTAAATTATGTTAGAGATCATTTATGAAGACTCCTCAATTATAGATATTTTTTTCTTTTCTGCAGGATATCTGAACAAAATGAGAACGTAATAACAAAAAACTATTACTGGTGGTTGATTGCATAATTATATTAATACCAGTAATTACCTCCGGTTCCGTTTAAGTGAACCTCCGATTTGTAGTCCCTGGGGGAATCATTGAAGGCATAAATTGCCTATTAAGTATTGATAACATTAATTATCAACACTTAAATTTATGTATTTCTGTTTGAGTTTTTTATAAGTAGTATTGAATGCTACATAACGAAAATAATTTAACGTATTTTATTTCTATAGATATAAATATTATACTGAATACGAAATAATTGTAAAACAACTATGTCAAAGTCTAATTAATACCTATTGAACTTATTTTTATATGTGGAACAAAATGTTATGTTTGTTTGATAAAGGAATATGAAATTTGGCACAGTTGAAGTTAAAATGGATAGAATATGCATGTGCATTTTACTATGATTAGAAAATTAAAAAATATTTAAAAAACATAAGGTTCTCTACACATCAAAATCTTAACACCAACTACCATACGCTTGACACTTTAGTTTTACTGTATTTCAAACAATCATATAAAAGTATAGTATTTGACAGTATAATTAAAGTACAAGATGCCTCAACTAAGAAAAGAATGGTAATTTTTAAAGCTTATGCCCGAATTTAGATCGGTGATTGTCCACTAGTTTTTTGAATTCGTTTAACTTACCTGTAACTAACTGGGGCTCTCAAATTGACCGAAAAGTTTCTTCCCGAAGGTCTCCGTCTCTTATCTCCCTCCCTCCAACTGCCGTAGCTCCTAGCAAAAGTCTCCACACCACAACCACTAGAAGTATTCGTATTCACAAACTCGACACTCACATCCAGAGTTTCGTTCACAATATCACTCCACTCTAAAGAATTGTTCACACTAATGTCCTCATACGTGAAGTTCGTTGGCTCATACACGCCATTGTGTTTAGGACTAGAATACGTGTACACTCTATTCAGTTCGGAATCATTTTCTGTTTTTATTCTATGTCTTTCTATAGGCTGGGTGGTGTTGGCTCTGTGGTAATCCTCCATGGATATATACCAAGCTTCTAAGATGGCAATATGCGAGTCTAAGTCGCGACAGGTGAGACGGAATGTGTAGTCGTGACATTGCTGCTCTTCCACGATTTCTGTAAATTAAAGCAATAGGTTATAAAGATAGCAATAAAAAATATGAGACAACATGATCTCGTAATTCATTCAACTGACTGAGAAACGAACCTAAGATTTCAGAGATAGTAATTCGTACCATATAATTTTTACTTATATAAGAAGACATTAATGTCTTCTCTACGTACTACCCTCCCGAGACTAAACCGCAGTAACGGCAAAATTTGCGTTTTTGAATTTTTTATATCGTTTGAAAGCCCAATTCAAACCCTACAAGCTTAACTTATTATTTTTTTTCTACGGCCAGTAATAGTTTTCTTTTTTCTTTTAAAGTCTAGATACCAATTTTGATTTGATTATAAATAATTGATTTAACGTCAGTTTTAAAACTTTCTGATTATATAATTTACGATTTTACCTTTACTCTATAATAATATTAGAACATAGTTATTATCGTTAATTATCGAATTATTACACATAAAACAATTATGCCAAATCGATTATACTAAAGTATATTAGGTTAAGAACATTATGCTCAAGAACTAGTTCCTAATGGGCATAACATTACAGAAGTCTAACAAGCCATGAATGAGGCATGAGTTTATTACTTTACAAAGACACACGATCGAACACTAATAGAGTTATATGATTCATAAAAGGCAACATTAGTCGTATAACTGTTGTAATTACACGAAGAGGATGATAGTATCGTACAGATTTTAATTACATAAATGCGCTTACTTTGTCCCACAGTTCTACTTGGTTTTTAGACAACTCCTAAAGGTTGAAGTGTTATTTATAGTTCTGTATTAAATCAAATACCCTTTCTAGTATAAAACAATATTTTTTTAAATCCAACAACGAATTAGAGACAAAAAAGGAATTCAAAGAAAGTCCTTCAGATCATAAGCTATCGAATAACTATTTGATGAAATGCGGTCTACAGTTTGCGGAGAAATCGATGAAAATTAAAAAAAAAATACATACCCGTCGAACACAGAACCCGCTTTTTTACGATTTAGAAGTTGGTTAAAAAGAGTTCTAAACCTAAAGTTTACAAGAAAATGAAAACATTTGTGCGGAACTCTGAGAAAGCGATTCCAATACGTTTTCAGTTGATTTTTGTATTGTATATCCTACAAATTTGTTAGTTGTAACCTATTTTGATAAATCTCGTTACTTCCGTGATTCCGAAAACAGAAATCATTTTTATTTTCTACTTATTTACCCTCATTTCTCGATTTTACAAGCACTCTAGAAAACTCTAATCTCAACTTATTTTTACTTATTATTAAATAGATTTGTACGTGTGTTTGAAAGAAATAGTAGCAAACAACATTATCCCACTGCTGGTTCTCAGAACGCTGATAATACTTTCGAGAATTTGCGTAAATCACAATCAATTTAGCTCACGAGGTAAAATTATAAATGGAAGCTCTTATATTTAATGCAAACATTGAAGTACCGAGTGCTATAGAAATAATACATGTTTTAGATTTCAATCCTAAGAATAAGCACAAGGCAGGTAGGTACGTCAATATATTGACTGTGTTCACAAAAGATATATAAAGTGTTTATGTATTCTTAAAAATTATGTAAAATATGTTCCATTAATAACTTTTGGGACTTCAACTGGTATTTATTAAATTGTCATATACACACTTATTATACACAATAGCTTTAACAGAAATGTTTCTTTTTCGAAATAGGATAATTAATATGAGGAAAGAATGTATTTTTTTGTTTGCACTAAATAGGCTTTAAAACTATTGGATCGTTTTTTAAAATTCTTTCAGCTACGCTACATCATTCGTGGACGACATAAGCTAGAATTTGCGGGGGCGTAGTTGCGGAAAAAAGATTAAGTAAAATAATCAAAATAAATACTGATTTCTTATGTTTTTACCTGCACTACAAATTAAATAAAACTATTTTGATTTCATAACGTTTCGGAACCTTTATAGGCTCCGTGTAAAGACAATCGACATCTTAGTCTTACGTGTAAATAGTTACAACAAAATAAGCTATCTAGATCTGGATCTTTAATTACAAAATCTAATGTAAGATGCGAGAGCTTTTAAACAATACATTATCAATATAGAGAGTGATTCAAGAGAAACATTTATATTTACGATACAAAACCATGCGGGGGGGAAGCCGCTAAAGCTAGTTATTTCATAAGACGCACAGTAAGGCATATAATGTGACAGTTGGTCACGTTATAAGCCTTACTTGATTGTGACTAGGTTTATTTTGCAACAATAATTAGCATATATTTTATCCGTCTAAGAAAAAGTAAACGGCTATTAGCTGCAAGCTAAAATTTTAATATTAAAAAAATAATATCGCTCGTGTAAAATTTTATATCTATGGTCGTTACCTTAAACCTTTTTTATGTCAGCATATTTCTACACTAATAAGGTCTGATTATATCTCTGCTGAAAAAAGATTATACAACAAAAGGCAGACTTCTAATAAGTTTTTAAACGATCGATGTAATAAACCGTCCTTTAGACTAATTTTAAGATTAAATTTTATAATTTAGGCTTTTATATTATAGTGTTTAAAAGGTGTCCATACATATACTGCCTAATCTAAACAAAATATTATAATAACTGGGTGATTCTTGGGAAATGTGTTCTCCGTGTAATTTCCAGGGCATTTTTGAAATCGCAAAATTATGGTGAATTATATAAATATTTCGAAAACTTCTGCAAATTTAAACATCATATTAAAATTGGCCACGACTGAGATCTATACTTTTGCTAAAAAAAAATGTAGAAAATTGGCGGACCATGGAAATTACATTATAGGCAATGGAAATTACACAGCAGATAAAATTTTGCTAAACACCATGTCATATATGAAATTAAGCTGTCATATTAGTTAGGGTAGTATTAATATCTGCCTTCATTATACTGAAACGATATACTTACTCAAAATTGGAACGAAACCTAAACACGTTCATGTTCTCAAAAAACAAAATATATACAACGTGTTATAGAAATAGCGCAAAACCTCTCAGGTGGTAGCTCAGCCCATGAAACTGAACAACTTTTACTATGAGACCAACATTGAAATTTCAGCATCTGGCAAATTTTTCGAAGTAACGTTACATCGGAAAAACAAAAGTCGGGCGTTGAAGTAAGATATTCGATGTATTGAAACTTCAAACAATGAACGCTTAGACGTACTCGTATAGTTGTCGATGTATCAATTATCGAAGAAACGTGTTTCGAAGTGACATAGAGAACCCTTTTTCGAAATGGTTATTTATTTTGTCAATTATCTTATAAAATACGCATCCTACGTCAAATATCAGTAATTAATTTATTGTAAATTTAATTGGCTTTCATTTAACACCAAATTGGTACCTGTAGAGCCAGTGGTTTTCTAAAAAACGATAGATAGCGAACACCGGTCATACGTAGACATTAGGAGGTTATTTCAGTCAAGAAAACCCCCTTGGCTATCTATCGTTTTTGAGAAAACCATTGGCCCTACAGGTACCAATTTAGTGTATAATCAAAGTAAGTTTTTACAATAAATAAATTAATTAAATAATATGTTAACTTAATCCGGTGTAAAAAATGTCCTTGTGACCCTGTTGACTTCAAACAGACGACAGCGAAAGACAGATGTATTAAACTTGAATTTGTTTAATCACGATTTGAGAATTTGAAGATGATGATCAAAGTTTTAAATGATATTTAAGACGATTTAATTAAAAAAATAACCAACATTCAACATTTAAGTCTGTATTTGGCGATGGCGTGCATTTCCTTGAAAACAAACATTGAACATAACGTTTGATTTTTTCCAACCAAAAAGAAACAAGGTAATTTCCATGGGTGATACGTAATTTCCATGGTGTTTTATCCATGGAAATTACACCATGGAAATTACTAAAAATCATATATTTTGAAATTACTCTACATTGAAAAGATATAACCGGCTAGTTTATTACTGTTTATCTACATTATAGAGCTAGATATTTCACATTAAAACCCATTTTCTAAAAGAAGTAGAATTATATTGAAAAAATGTGACATGGTAAAGCCGGATAACTGAGAACCAAAATTTAAGAAATTGAAGAACTTATTATTGCAACGAAAGCGCGGGAAACAGCGACTTGGCCACCTCACCTGATAGCTGCGGCGTAAATGACGATTCGCAAACACTAATCGGGGTTCGCCTACGCCTCGCCAGCTCAGAGCAGTATCTCGCGCAAAGCGCGCGGCGGAAATTTTGCTAAGCGTGTGACACATTTACTTCTGACCATAAAATCAAAAGTTTCCTTCCGATTAATTTGAAATTTGATCAATATGTAAACCGATTTGTCTTTTTTAAATGTGTGTAACAAACTGATTGAAAACGTGGGTAATTTCAAAAATATTTGCGATTGCTCAAAAGTCGGCGCGCGTGTGACACGGTAAAAACGTGCAAAATTGACCGGATTTGAGGTGTTGAGAGTAAGTTACTCCGATCTACGTCGTTTTTTATCCGTGAAATCGATATGACACTATGCTTAATGAAATGAAGAAACGATGTAATAGTAGTTTTTATCATAATAATTTATTTTTATAGGAGATATTTCCCTGTGACACTCAAAAATTGCTTTTCCAAGAAGTACCCAACTAGCTTTTGCCCGCGACTTCGTCCTCGTGATATAGTTACTTTGGGCATCATATTTTCCAAAAACGCTATTATTTGCAACCTAGATGTCAAACGATATTGAAAAATTTTATCTATGAATCAACGTACACCGCCATCTATGAGAACTTCATAAAGAAACAATTAATTAGAACATTTTATTCGTTTACATTCACGACATAAGCGAATAATTGAGATGATAACTATCCTATCCAGTAATTTAGACCAAAATACGGCTACATGTGAAATTTGATTGAAATCGGTTCAGTAGTTTTGTAGTTTACTGGCAACATACATCGTGACACAAAATTTTATATACATAGATTAAACCACATTCACTATAAATAGAAGTGTCATTTTATTCTGA